CAACAAGGAAAAAGCAAAGAGTTACAAGCAGACCTCCATAAGGCTTTCAGCTGATTTCTCTACACAAATACCTCTGGCCAGAAGGGAGTAGCAAGATATATTCAAAGTCCTGAGTGAGAAAAAGCTGCAACCTAGGATACTCTATCCAGCAAGACTATCCTTTAGAGTAGAAGGAGAGAGAAAGAATTTTACAGACAAGCAGAAACTAAAGGAATTCAGCAATACTAAACCTATCCTAAAAGAGATATTGAGAGGTCTGCTCTAAATAGAAAAGCAGGAAGCTATAGAAATGAGAAAACCATAATTGGAAATGTGATAACTATGAATCGCAAGAGAATAAACATGAAGATGTTAAAAAAAAAGACATCAAAATCATAAAATGTGGGAGGGAGAGCAAGAAAATAAAGATCTCTCTCTCTCTTTTCTTTTTTTTTCTTCTTCATTCTTTTTAGGATGTGTTTGAGCCTACATGACTACCAGTCTAAAGCAAAAAGATAAAGTAATGGGTTAACATACTTGAAAAACAGGGTAACCACAAGTCAAAAGCATACAATAGAGTCACAAAACCTAAAGAGAAACCAAGCTAATACAAAAGAAAATTATCAAACCACAAAAAGAAAAATGAAAAGAAAGGAACAAAGAAGAAATACCCAATCAACTGGAAAACAAAGTTCAAAATGGCAATAAACACATCTATCAACAATTACTATAAATGTCAATGGACTAAATGGTCCAATCAAAAGACACAGAGCAGCAGATTGGATAATAAAGCAAAAGCCTACAATATGCTGCCTACAAGAGACCCACTTTAGAATGAAGGACACACATAGATTGAAAGTAAGAGGATGGAAAAAGATACTTCATGCAAATGGAAATGACAAAAAAGCGGGAGTAGCAATACTTCTATCAGACAAAACAGACTTTAAAACAAAGGCCATACAAAAGATGAAGGAGGACACTATATAATGATCAAAGAAGCAATACAAGATGAGGATATTATACTCATTAACATATATGCACCCAACATAGGAGCACCTAAATGTATAAAACAAATACTAACAGACATAAAGGGAGAAATTGATGGGACTATGATAATAGTAGGAGTCTTTAACATCCAACTAACATCATTGAACAGGTCTTCCAGACAGATAATCAATAAGGCAATGGAGATACTAAATGACACAACAGAACAGCTGGACATAGTTGATATTTTTAGGACATTACATCCCCCCAAAACAGAATATATATTCTTTCCAAGTGCTCATGGAACATTCTCTAGGACAGACCACATACTTGGGCACAAAAGAAGCCTCAACAAATTTAAGAGGATAGAAATTATTTCCAGCATCTTCTCTGACCACAATGGCATGAAACAATAAACCAACCACAGAAAAACAATGAGAAAAAAAATGACAGCATGGAGACTAAACAACATGCTACTAGAAAACCAGTGGGTCAATGATGGAATCAAAGAAGAAATAAAAAAGAAATCTTGAGACAAACAACAATGAAAACACAACCACACAAAATCTATGGGATGCAGCAAAAGCAGTCCTAAGAAATAAGTTGAAAGCGATACAGGCCTTCCTCAGAAAACAAGAACAATCTCAAATAAACAACAATCTCAATAAACAATTAGTAAAAGAAGAACAAACAAAACCTAAAGTCAGCAGAAGGAAAGAAGTAGTAAAGATCAGGGAGGAAATGAATAAAATAGAGATAAAAAAACAATAGAAAAAAAAGTCAAACCAAGAGCTGTTTTTTTGAAAGAGTAAGCAAAACTGACAAACCTCTGGCCAGGCTCACCAAGAAGAAAAAAGAGAGGACATAAATATACAAAATAAGAAACAAAAGTGGAGAAATGACAATCAACACCACAGAAATACAAGTCTTCAGAGAATACTATGAACAACTATATGGCAATAAACTGGACAACTCAGAAGAAATGGACAAGTTTCTAGAAACATACAGTCCACCAAAACTGAATCAAGAAGAAGCAGATCATTTGAACAGACCAATCACTAGAAATGAAATAGAAACAGCAATAAAAAACAAAACAAACAACAAAAAACCTCCTTGCAAACAAAAGTCCAGGATCAGATGGTTTCACTGGGGAATTTTACCAAACATACAAAGAAGACTCATACCAATCTTTCTCAAACTTTTTCAAAAGATTGATGAGGAGGGAACACTCCCAAACTCATTCTATGAAGTCACCATCACCCTGATACCAAAACAAGAAATAAACCCACAAACTTTTGGTCAATTAATCTTTGACAAAGTAGGCAAGAACATACAATGGAGTAAAGACAGTCTCTTCAGCAAATGGTGTTGGGAGAACTGGACAGCTGCATGTAAATCAATGAATTTAGAATACTCCCTCACACCATACACAAAAATAAACTCAAAATGGCTTAAAGACTTAAATTAAAGACAAGACATTATAAACCTCTTAGAAGAAAACATAGGCAAAACATTCTCTGACATAAATCTTAGCAAAGTTCTCCTAGGGCAGTCTATCCAGGCAATAGAAATAAAAGCAAAAATAAACAAATGGGACCTAATTAAACTTAGAAGCTTTCGCACAGCAAAGGAAACCATAAGCAAGACAAAAAGACAACCTACATATGGAATGGGAGGAATATTTGCAAAAGATGAGACTGACAAGGGCTAAATTTCCAAAATACATAAACAGCTCATACAACATAATAAGAAAAAAACAAACAACCCAATCCAAAAATGGGCAGAAGACCTAAACAAGCAATTCTCCAATGGAGACATACAAGTGACCAATAGGCACATGAAAAAAATGCTCAATATCGCTAATTATTAGAGAAATGCAAATCAAAACTACAATGATATATCACCTCACACCAGTCAGAATGGCCATCATTCAAAAGTCCACAAACAATAAATGCTGGACAGGGTGTGGAGAAAAGGAAACCCTCCTATATTGTTGGTGGGAATGTGCAGCCATCATGGAAAACAGTATGGAGATTCCTCAAAAGACCTAAAATACTTACCATACGATCCAGCAATCCCACTCCTGCGCATATATCTAGAGGGAACCTTAATTCAAAAAGATACATGCATGCCAATGTTCATAGCAGCACTATTTACAACGGCCAAGACATAGAAACAACCTAAATGTCCATCAACAGATGACTGGATAAAGAAGTT